GGGGACTTAATTTCTAACCCGGCGGGAATCGGGGCGAGGACGAGAATTGTTAAAAAAGTCGGGGCGGGGATCGGGAGACAAAACCCGCCCCGCCCCGCCCGTTTGCCATGCCTGTCATTGTCAAAAAATTCATTTATAATTCATTCATTTACTCTATTCATGAAAAAAAATCTACTTATACCAAAAAAATAAAATCAAATTATATTTATGCATTTAATTTTATAAAGGATTAATTACTCATATATAAGTTTTAAAAATCCACTAAGTCCTTTAATAGGTCAAAATTAATCCATCATTTTTTTATATTCACCTCTTCATAATTAATTTTTAGGTAAAATGTTTTTTATCTCCTGAAATTTATAGTATATTAAATTCATTATATTTTTTTATATTATTTTCATTCTTCTAAAATTCAAATATATTTATAAATCCATTATAATAATAACATAGACCAAAAGTTAATATGCATGACAATTTTAAACCATAAATTTAATAATTAAAAGGGATTTTCGTTAATATAGTTAATAAATACTGTTATGATGATTATACATGTGAGTTTTTCATCTATTATTTTATTAATACGGGCCTTAAAAAAAAAAGTTTCAGAAGAACCTTCGTGTTTAAATTTTCTCAGGGACATATTAATATTTTAAGAATTTTATAGGGATCAATTCTAAATTTTGTCAAGCATTAGTGTGATATGTAAAAGAAAAAATTGTTGACGTGGTACTTTGGTTACAATTAACAATTTCGTGTAAAAACAAAAAAGGAAAGAAAAAACTAAAACTTTATAGAAAAAAAAATTGAATATATTGAAGAAATAAAAAAATTATATTACTCTGATTTTCAATATATTTTATCATAATTTCTTATAAAAAGATATATTAATGTTTTTTATTAATTTTCGATGTGATAATTACAAAACGCATAATTTAATTGTCATTTACATGTACATTTATATATATATATATATATATATATATATATATATATATATATATATTTCACATAAGATCAAATAAAATGTTATTATGACGCATATTTAAAACGTGAATATGAGAATTAATCAAACAAGAACTACATATAAGATAGACAGGAGATTTGATCGCTACTTTCTTTAAGAGGGTTTTTAAAATCCCAACATAATAATCTAGTAATGTTCATACTTTGATGTATTTTGAATACAAAAGTTAAAACAAACTAACAAATATGAATTAAGATGCTCCTTAGTGTCATCAACATTAAAAACAAATATGTCACTTAAAATTTTTTTAAGTGATTGAACTCAACTCACAATGTTAATTATGTTAATTTATGGATTGAGTTAAAAATATGTGAGCTCAATCAACTTATTTTATTATGAGTAAAATTTCACAACCCAGCTTAATTCATTACAGATTAGTGGGTTGACTCATCAAAATATATTTATTTTTTTGTTCCTCAATTTTTTTTTTTTTATAATCATAACTAAATCGCAGGACTGAAACGTAATGGTACGGAGACACGATAAACGTTGTGACGTACTTGAAACACAACAAACACAATAGTACAATTGAAGTATGTTGGTGTAGTAACGTGATAAATGCAGTGGTGTGATAAACACAGTAGTGAGACAAACACTATGATGTGACTGAAATATTATAATGTGATATCACAATAAGCGTTATGACGCTACTGAAATGTACGAGACTAAAATGCGACATACATTGTGACTAAAACGTGATAGTACGATGAATGCAATGATCACAGTGGTGTAGTAGTACGGTGGACGGATGATAAAGGGCCTAGGTGCAGCATGAACGTAGTGACGTGACGAATAATTGATTATAAGTATGAGTGAAAGTTTGACTTATAGTGATGTGGAATAGAGGTGAAGAGACAAAACAATATTAATTAGTATTACTAAATTATTATAATTATTTTTTAAATTTATAATTATTTGTAAGTTATATGTCAACCCACCATAATTTAACTCGAACCTACTTAATCTGAAATTGAGATAAGTGAATTGAGTTCATTTTTAACTCATTGTGGATAAAAAAAAATTAAACTCAACCCAACTCAAAACATATGAGAGCATATGAGAGTCAGACTCATGATTACGGTCTATATTCACACTATATAATACATAAGGATCAAAACAGGCACATTATCACTTCAAAAAATAATGTACATTCAATTTATAATCTAATTATTTAAAGAAAATTTAATAGTCTATATCACTAATTTTTTTTCTCACAATCAAAATATTTCATAGAAATGAGTAAAAAATATTAATTATTGAATAATTATAAAAGTGCAAATAAATTAAAATAACAATAAATACTTCTAAAACCTTTATAACATGGTATTTAAATATTACATATTCTAAATTAATATAAAAACCAATAGATGGAATGAAATATGGTGGTCTCCACGAATAACATTTTACAAAATAAAATAAACCAGGAAAAAGTGTGACGGTCAAATTATTTGAACCCAACCTTTGACTGTGTATTATTGAAAATGAATTTTTTGACCTTTTCTTTTTAGAAAAAATATTTTAACTTGTCTTTCGATAATTCTAATATTGTTCAACTAACAATCATGTTAAATATGATTTTTGAAAAGCCTTAGTCGTAGCTAGTTAAATGTACTTGGACCAAACTTTGATTCACTAGAATTCATATTTTTATTTGTGTAAAACTGTCTTATATATTTTATACAAAGCTGAATATAATAATAAAAAAAAGTAATGGCTTTAAAGTGACAATTATTTCAGCTTTGAATTAAAAAAATAGAGCCAATTTAGACCACTTGGCATCTTAAGAAAAAACTTGTAGTTGTTTAAATAAAAAAGTGAAAGATATTAGAAAAATGATTTTACTTTTGGGAATTGTCTCAATCATTATTTGTTGTGCCCTTAAAGTTTGAATATATGCAACGAGCCAAATAGTAAACTTTGAAGCATTGTGTGTCTCTTTCATATCTCATTATTAAATTTACTATCACGTGAATTTGGTTTTTGATGTAGGTGGCAATGATAGTTTTGTTGGGGTATATAATATATATTTCCATTTTTGTGTTTAAAAAAAAATCTGAGTTTTATAAGTAGAATTTGTAATCTATATCTGGTATTTGTTGAGTATTTATATTTATATTTGTTATATGTAATTTACTTATGTAAAAAAATAATACAAATATTAATTTAAATTTTACTGTTGTATAGGAAGATACAATTAATTTTTTAAGTTATATATTTACTAGTTTGTCTATAATATTTCGCAAAGATTATATACAAAAATGTATTATTATTATTATTATATTTTTCTTTCTTGTAACACATATTTATTTAACTAGACTAAAAATTTATGTTATTATAGAGATCAAATTTAACATATTTTTATTTATTTATTGGTATATATTTTTCAAATATTAATTGATGTATTAGTATAGTGTCTTTAAACACATTTGACATTTACTATTATATAAATATAACATTAAAATTAAAGTATTCAAACATATAATTAAAAATAATTTTTTAACATTCGAAAATAAAGTTATAATATCATATATGAATCTATTATTATATTTTAAAATTATGAATTTTTACTCTAATTTACACATATTATATATTATTTAAATTTATACAATTTTAAATTCAAAATAGTTTTTGTATAGAATAAAATTTAATTTTTGAATTTAAATTTATTTATATTATTAAATTTAATTTTGGATCATTTCTTACAAAAATATTTCTCTTGTTAGATATGTATTACCAATTCTTTGACCTTTTTTCTCTAACAAAAAACTTTTATAACACCAACATATTATTATATATATATATATATATATATATATATATATATATATATATATATATATATATATATATATATATATATATAAAAGTTCAAAGACTTTGCATAATAAATAACTAAATACTCACAAAAAGGTATAAACAAACATTAATTATTATATACTCATACATAGAATAAAATATTTTGTTTTAGATAAATATGAATATAAATATAAAAGTCAAAGAATATATCTAATTATAATTATTTTTAATCATAATTTTGTTCTTAAGTTATAGCTAACAAGTAAAATAAATTGAAATTTCATTATTAAATCGCTCAAACATAAATTGAAAACATAGTGATATAAACAGTATTCAAATGTAAAATTAAAAACAAAACATAATTTCAGTAATATAAATTTAAACTATAATAAAAAATATTGAAATATATATTTCTTTTACAGTTATTCTTAAATTTAAATTATAAAAAAATAGTTTACATATTTACATCCACCTGAATTAAGATATTTTATCCTATTCACTACAGATACTTTTACTAGTTTATGTAGGATTTGGGTAAATTCCCCTACCTGAGCATCTTCAAACCTTATGCTAACTTATTCTAAACTTGTGATATAGATTGACATTAATTAACATTTCGAAAGAAAAAATATACTAAAAACTAGTGATATAAATTCCATTAATAAATATTTACTCAAACTAGTCATTTTAGCGTTAGTTTGCATTCAACATTCATGCTTTGCAAAACAGAAAACTTGCAATCATCATGTTTTTTCTTTCACGTTCAAAGGAAATCTTTGCACGTTGAACAATATGCGAAAACATACATTCGTCTACATGTCTTCACAACTTAATAACTAGTCAAACACATTTTTCTGTCCATACATCTAATTCAATAAAGATAACTTAATATCTTTCCACTAACTATTAAAAAGTTGATTAACTTATTTATTAAAGTAAAAGTATTTTGATCAAAATAATTGTTGGACTAATAACATGGGTGAAAAGTTTTATCATTTTATATCTAACACTATTTTTAGGAATGGTATATCTAACATTACTTTTTTTTTTTTAAATTAGCTGAAATATAAAGTTAAATTAAGCATGGAAATTTTGAACTATTGGATTTACTTCATCCAGAACACATCAAAATTTCTATCAAAGAATGGATACTCAAAGCAACATAGAATCCTTAGGAGCACTATAATGCAAAACGGCTCCCAGTTCCATCCAAAAATCGATCAGTATGCCACCCTTTGTTCTGCAATTCTTTCAAGAAAACAGGAAAGACAGCATTCATTTTCTCATAAGCCTCATGCATGACACTAGCACTGAGCTCATGAAGAGAGGAACTCTCAACTTGTGCAGCATATGCAGCAACTAGCCACCCTCTCAATGCATCTTCACCAGTAGCATCTTGCTCCAATACCATGTCAATGCATTTATGACCGAAGTTTAAAAGAAACTTCTCCTCAGAGAACACTTGTTTTAATTCAAGAAGCCTTGAAGGCTTAATGGCCTTGTGCATAGCATTCCCAACTCTTACATTTCCAGTATCTTCTTTGAGTTGCAGATTAAAGAGCAGATTTTCCCTATATCTTAGACTAGCAGGGCTTGAAACAATTCCTGCCTGCATTGGAATTCATCAAAGGTTTAAATAGAATTTCATTTTTTTTCTTTTTCAAATAATGGACACGAAATCAGGAGTGTTTTCATTTACTATAGTAGTTCAAACTAGACCTTGAGAAAATCATCCACAACCATTGCAGTTCTTCGTGGATTCAAGGTATTGATAGGAGTTGCTCTCATTTCTTCAGACACACTGTATATATGTATAATTGTAAGGAGAGGAACCGCAACCAACTGACAAAAAATGTCTCATAATTCATCAGTTGGAATCATCAGACATCAATACAAGTATATTTATCATTAATATATGCAACACGATCAATTATATCTATATAAAGTAAAATAGAAAAGAAGAAAACTACTTGTTTTCTTTCACATTATGATAAAATTTTGAGTAATGATTCTGAGTGCAAATAAATAATAAATACGACCAACGATTGAGAGGAGAGTGGACCCACAATCATCTGACCAAAAAGGTTTCATAATCCATCAGTTGGGAATAATCAATAAAATAGATTCTTATGTCTAGAAAGTGCTCCCTTTCGTATTTTGAGCCATAGTTATAATTGCAACGGCCTACATACCCATGGCCATGACTGCATCAACATTTGAATTTGATTCATATCTTGCCATCCGCCATAACTTTTGGTTTAAAGTTATATATTAACCAGAGCAATTTAACAAAACAAATTTCAATCTACCCCCTTGAATTGAAATTACGGTTTATTTTACAGGTTGTAAGCAACTTTAGGGGTTGATAAACATTAAACTGCTATTAAACATAACTTATTCTAATAATTTTGACAGAGACTAAGAATTAATAAACCGAGTAGTACAAACTTGCATTGTTAAGAAGATTACAGGAAGACTTAGCCTTACCTTGGTGCTAGCTGGAATATAATCATGAAGCTTAAATCGTGAGTTCCTAGTTCATTAATAGTCCCACTTCATGAAAGATCTCTCCTAAAAGTGCATTATGTCCCCTCTTACCCATTTCTATATTGAAATGGCATGTAATATTGTAACCAACTTCAAAAATTTTCACATAATGTATAATATTTCAATTCTCGAGCATTTCAGTAACAACCACATCCAAGAAAATCATTACATATACTTTAGCATAAACTAATTGTAGGATTCAAAACCCAAATTTGATTGAATACCGAGGTCCAGGAACAAACAAAATAAAAGCTCTATACCTTTCCCTGCATTGATGCACATATAGAAGATGCTAATTGAATTCCAACTCCAATTCCAATAACATTAAAGAGAGTTGAAAAAGCCTCTCCTTTAGCAAATAGGTCGCTGAGATTTCCTTCTTTAGCAAATGAAGAATATATAGGCAATCTTGTTGCCCTTGCTGCAACAACCGCCATCCCCTGTTGAATCCACAATATCATAAAGAGAAGTTAACTGCATGAAATAAATATGATACTTTTACTCAAAATGTAGAATAGGATGCTAAAGACCTCAAACATGACAAACATAGGGTTGAATGAACCATTAGCTTTGAATCAACTTTACAATACCAAAATGTGTAACAATTGTTAAAAGAACTCCATAAAATACAAACCTTCGCAAAGTTTCCTAAGCCTGCCATTTCAAGAAAAAGATGCGGGCATAATGGAGAAAGCACTTCCAAGCCAATGCCTATATCATAGAGCACATCAGCTGCAAAAAATGTAAAGATAATAGTCAGACAACTTGAGAACTTAGCAAATAAGAAGGAATATAACAAGGGGCGAAGGCGGTGAAGAAAAGCACCAGCCCAAATGCAAACCTAGCAGTCTCCAACGTTTAGGCTCAGAATCCATTCTAGCACCCCAATTGCTACAGATTAGCTTCCCGACATGTTGCATTCCATCCTTCAAAATCTGGACAAACGAAAAAAAACAGCCAGGTTATACATTAAAGAAATTCCATGGTTACTTCTGATTTGAGAAATTGTCCATTTGAAATTAATATCAAATTACCCAACTAACTGCTGTCGCTTGTGCAGGAGTAGGCTGCAACCCTGCAGCAAATAGTAAGGACTGCAGAAGAATAAGCATAGAGAGAGACCTTGGAAACCCACTGATTTATTTCATGAGAATCAATTCATGAAAAATATTAAATAATACATAACTAAAAAATCAACAAAAATTACTAAGTATGAATAAAGAGTACTCTATGTCTCATTTGTAAAGAAAGCATGTATGATTTTCCAAAGTCAAAGAAAGGAACATTTTCCATTGCATCCTTTACTGAATTTTTCATGTTACTGGAAGAAGACCTGAGTTGATAGCACCGATAGCGTTGCACTGGTAACATGTTGCAGGGCTCGAAACTGTGTGTATCTAAGATAGCCTTCATTCACACTGCAAGAGAAACACAGAAAACCTCTGTCACTGAACAAGCTTTCCTAGTTTCTACACCATAAACCATAACATATTTTCAGGAAAAACAAATAACCTGTAGGGATATCCCGAGGGAAAAAATTTATTCATGAAAGATCCAGCTATCCTTTGGTAGAAGGGCCTGGAATCGTCAACAACCACTACCTACAAAGAAACTAAAAACACTTGTTAGGGTGAAGAAAGCCACAGAAGCACTTAGAAATTCAAACACAACCAATTTTAGAACACTACATAGAAGGTGCTTCCTTGCATAAACATAAGATATCATGTCACAAATTTGAGTTTTAAGAGTCAAAGAGCTGACACTACAGGAAGAAATCAACACCATTGCCAGTTGCGTTAACATCAAATCATAAATTTAAACAGTGAATTGACGTTGACCAAATTCCAAGCATACAAGTTATGAGGGTTTAGGCAATAACATGTTTGTTACATACAGAGAGTCGAAAAAAGAGACATTGAAGAATAACATACGGAGAGTCGACCATCGGGTTCAAACTGGTGTCGACGACAAACAGAGTCGGAGGTTTCGAACCACAACACGGGGGCTTCACCCTCTTTCTTCTCCTGTGTTTTTCAATAATCAATTTGAAGTTTCAACCAACGTAAATAAACCAAATAATAAAGAACGAAAATAGAGAGAATGGGTACAGAACATAGCACCATTTCAATGGAGAATTAAGGAAATGTTTCGCCTGCAACCCCCAAAAACCTCTGCTACGCTAGTACAACGCTTAACTTTTCATACTATTTTTTCTTTTTATCACTCTCAATTAGTAAATGGTGTGTTTACCAAGAGTGTAAAGGATCATGTTTAGCTATAATTATCGATCACATTAAATGTTTAAATTAAGTAAGCTTATTAATGTTTACTTTAATTATTTTAAAATTCTAATTGACTGATAATTATCACATTAATATTGCAAAGATGTCAGACTCAATTATTAATTACTTTTTCAATTTTCTTACTAACTAATGTTTATTTCTATGAAAGTAAAACATTGTAAATGAATATTTTTAAATATATAAATCATATTTTAGATTTATAATAAAAAATAAAAAGTAATTTGAATATGGGAATTTTTACTTTCCAAGATCAAAATGTTTTGTTTTTTAGATGATAACTTAAGAAAATAAATATATATATTTAACTCAATAAGGATGGATTTTTACGGCGAAAAATATTTTTATGTTACAAATTTTAAGTATTTAGCCTTTTAATTTAAACTGCTACGCGATAATCACGCAAAGAGTACATTAAAAATTACTAATAAAATTTTATTTTATTTTATTTATAATCTCGATGTAAAATGCTTTCACACTAATCAAAAGGAAGTACATCAGAATATTATTAATGAATCTTTTAAAACTTGTGCACTAACTAAACACAAATATATTCAAAATAACTATTACTAAACTTTATTTTTAATCACAAAAACATAAAATAATAAAATAATTGTTTGATGAAAATGAGTGGTTATTAATATATATATATATATATATATATATATATATATATAAAATTTAAGTTATAATTTTATATTTAAGTGTTTAGAAAAAATATTAAAATTTTTATTTTAAAAATAAATGTTATTACAAGATTATAATATATTATTGATTTTTTTCTAAGTTGATGATAGTTTAAAAATCACATATAATTTGATTATATATATATATATATATATATATATATATATATCAAATAATATATCTAAAACATTAATTAATCATAACGTTATTATTAGTAGACATGATACAAGATATCATATTAAAAAACAAAGTTTTGTTTCATTTATAAACTATTATTTTTTAGTATGTTTATAAGTTTCACGTTACTTAGTAGGGAATATTAATAATAATTTATATATATATATTTTAAATTCATCTAATATCTTTAAAAATAAAATTTTAACGAACTAAAATTTTAAAATTAATAATATACCAAATATAATACTTCACCTAAAAAATATTATCATAATAATAATAGAAGATTTATAAATAATTTTCCAAATTTATAATTATGATAAAGAAATAGTCTATTTATAGAAGTAAGATAAGATGTTAAATCAATACTGTCAAAATGAGTATTTCGAGCAAGAAAAAAGACATTTCTTTTTTTACTGGTCAATCCACAGGAGATGAAATGCAAATGTTATTTAATGTAAAAAATTGATTGTCATTAAAATGTAAATGATACAACTTGAAGATTTTCTAAACTTTTCGTGATAATCGTCTGATTGAAATATTCGTTTAAGTATTCACAAGGAATAAAACACTTGTGAAAGACAAATCTATCTATTATAACAAAACTTTGCTGAATAGTGTAATATTCATTTCTTTTTGCTAAAGAAGTTTGAGCTTAAATTTTTCATTAATAAACTTGAAACAAATACTTGAGAAAAATTCTTGAAGCAATAAGTAAAAATAAATAAATTACTTTGGTGTTTTTTAAAAGTATCCACGAAAAAATACTTATTGTAAGGTTTGATTTTAGTGAAACTTAAAATTTTCAAAAAGTAATTTTGAAAATTGAAACGAATTAGTATTAAAAAAATATCTCTTCTCTTGTATTTTTTTTAATATTTAAAATATCTTATAAATAAAATTTAGAATATAAGTGCAAATATTAAAAGAAAACAAAAAACTAAATTTAGCCACCTTTCATGTTTCTTTTTGTGTTAATAGGAAAAAAAACATGATATTAAACGTGTAGAACAAGAAATCATTGTATATTTCACCAAGGAGTTTAAACTAATAAAATAATTCAAAGAAACAACTTTAGTTATGAAAAAGAAAACTAAGAAGTTAGTACTGGGAAGTGATAAAGATTCCAAGAAAGTTTATATAGTAGGTCAAAAGTTTAATTCTTTTTTCAAATTAAGATGGTATTGAAAAAGAGGAAATAAGTTAAAGCTCGATATAGTTCAATACGGACTCTATTCAACATTTCAAATTATATAACGATACTTGCATGTCACATTATTATAAGAAAATAAAAAACACAGTTTTTGGAGTTAATAGACAATAAAGTTCACTATCCATATTCTTGTGTTAAAGATGCATCCAAACATGAAAATAATTTTTTGTGACTTCGAAATTTGTAGATAAATTAACTATATTAAGACAAAATAATAAAAAAAATTAATCAAAATGCTACAATTATATAAAATAAATTATAATCAACTATGTATGACTTGAAATATATTTTATTTAAGAACATATATATTAAAATATCACTATTTACTCATTATTTAATTGTGACTTGATTCCCTTGGTATTCATCATGATATAATTTATATAATTCGTAATAACAATTTGCTTAAGTAATTGTATGTCATAATATAATCCAACTTGTCACTTTGATTATTATATGATTTTTAGATTAAATGTTTATTGTTAAATAAAAAACTAAAAGTCAAAGCACATTTTTTTCTAACTTAAATTCAGCGATTTTATTATAACATGATCACGCTACTTTTGTCACAACACAAATATATTTCAACCCCGGAACATTTTTAATTTAACATTTAGGTTATGGGAAACTTTCAACTAACCTTAAATACTTGGTTGAGAATTACTTTAATTTATACTCTATATAAAAAAAATCAATAAAAGAGAATAAATCAATCTTAATGAATTGGTGTAGTCCATATATGTTACAACATAAAAATAATAAGGACAAACTTTTATTATTGATAAAACTTATGACACCTATGAATCTTTCCGGGAGAGAAAAGGTAAAATATAGATTATATGAATATAAAACGTATGAATATTTAATTTTAAAATTAATAATAATTCAATTGACTACTGAATAATCATAATAAAAGAAATAATTATAGTATCACATAATTAATTAAAAAATTATAATAACAAAAGATAAAAAACTCTTCATTTTTATGAAAAAAAATAAAGAAAATAATATGTTATTTAAAGCAATTTTTATATATTTATAATTTTTTTTTCAATTTTATTAGTGATAAACTTGGTTCTTTTTTAGTTTATGTCAAGTGTTATCATTTGTTTTCTTTTGTTTAGCTTAAGCGAACTTTTTTAGTTTAAGTGACTTTCTGTTTTTGTTTGAGTTCTCTTATAATTTTTCTATTTATTAATAATATGTTATATTCTTTCTTTTCTCTTTTGTCTATTTGGAGTGCCTAATTTTCTTTCTCTTTTCTTTTCCACTTCCTTTTTATTGGGTATCAAGTTTTTCTTCCAACTTCTTGTTCTCTTGGTTATGGAAGACAATATGTAGTCTATTATGGTATCAAAGTTCCCTTTTTGAAGAGTTTTGTTGCATGATTACGATCTTTTGTTTTTTTTTTCCTTATCTTTCTTATTTTCTTTATAGTTCTTTTCTTTTCAATGGCAGATGAACATTCTGTACAAGGTTTTCTACATTTGCATCCAAATGAGAATCCATCTATAACTCTTGTTTCATTGATTTTGGACGCCTCCAATTATCATTCTTCGAAGTAGATCAATGATCACAACTCTAATTGCCAAAAACAAAGTAGAATTTGTTCTTGATTTAATGCCTTAGCCTGCCAAAGATGATATTGTCTTTGCTTCTTGGTACAAATGCAATAATATGGTGGTGTCTTGGTTAATTCATTTTGTTTCTTTTTTTATTCGGCTGAACATCATTTGAATAAATCAAACTATTACATATGGAATGACTTGAAATATCGTTTCTCATAAGAAGACCCCTCACATATCTCAAACCTTTAGATGAAGGTTGCCACTCTCAGTTGAGGTTATCTTATAGTCTCATATTACTTCACTGGGCTTAAGGTTATTTATGATAAATTGGACAATTTTAGACCAGATCTGATTTGTATTTGCAAAATAAAATGTTCTTATAACCTTTTCTTCTGTGATGACACAAAGGAAACAAGAAGACCAGGTGATACAATTTCTATGCGTCCTGAATAAGTAATTTATCAATATTAAATCTCATGTCTTATTGGAACCCATGCCACCTATAGCCAAAATTTCCTCTTACATTGTTCAACAAGAACGACAATTCTCAACTAAACACATAACCACAAACATTTGTGATAATATTCAAGTTTTTACCATAAAATAATAATACCTTTGTTGGTTTTCCAATGTCTCTACCTAGAGTTAAAAAATAGGTCACACAAAAATTATGTGTTATTAGAAGCATGACTTTCCCAATCAAGATAACAAAAATCCCAAGAATCAAAATCCCAGAAAGATGTGTACTCGTTATAATAGAACCCGTCACACTATTGATGTTTACTATAAAAAGCATAGGTATCCTCTTAGCCATAATTTCTACAATGGTAAGCAAACTCAAGTGCATAAAATCTCTACCAAAGACGATCGTAGTAACGAGAAAGACCAAAATATAGGTGAAAATATTAGTCTCATAACACAACAGTATCAGATCCTTATATACCTCTTTAAGAGCACCACGACTAGAAACTTGCATGCTCAGATAAATCAAATAGGATTTGTTTCTTAACATCAATCAAAAGTTGATAATATTCGTCCTTTTCTTCAATCTAAAGATTCTAACCATTTTTGGATCTTGGACTCTGGAGAACAAATCATATATGTATTTCCTTAAATCATTTTTCCTCATACAAAAGAATTAAACCTATTCATATAAGCTTACCTAATGACAATATAGTTTCTGTCAACTATTCTAGTATAGTGATTTTAATCATAAATTTCACATTTTCAATGTTTTATATGTGCCTCAATTTTTGTTTAACCTTATATCTGTCTTTAAAGTTATTTCTTCTCTTAATTGTGATCTAATTTTCTCTCCATCTGATTGTGTTATACAAGATGTGAAAACCAAAGAGAGGATTGATTTAGTTAGACTGCAAGTTGGCTTGTATGTCTTTAGTGATACTGATTTCTTCACAAAATTATGCATACTCTTTCTCTTTGAACCATTAAAAATATTAATCTTTGGCACTCATGCCCAGGACATCATTGAATGTTCTTCAGAATAATTACACTTATATTGTTGCTTATCAAAACTATGTCAGTGATAAAGCTAAGCAAAGAAAACTTCCCTTTTCTCTTAGATCTTCCAAAATCACCAAAACTTTTGATCTTTTACATATGGATACCTAGGATCCTTGTGACATTTTAGTGAATGGATTTAAATATTTTCTCACAATTGTTGATGATTACTCCCATTTTACATGGATTATACCTATGCATGATAAAGTTGATGTTAGAAACAAGTCATTGATTTCATTATTAAAATTAAAACTCAATTTAAGACTACTATCAAAATTATTTCCACATATAATGGTTCTAAGTTTATCATGCATGATCTATTTTATAGTAAAAGGCATCATTCATCAAATTACTAATGTAGAAACTTCCGAGCAAAACGATATTGTTGAACACAAACACCAACACATCCTAAATGTCATATGTGCTATATTATTTCAAGTTCATATCATCACTAATTTGTGTTGTTTTGTTACCTAGCATGTTGTGTTTTTAATTAACTACATGCTTACACCCTTGTTACATGATGATTCTCCATATGAACATTTATATGGTACTCCTTGTAATCTCTCCATCTTACATGTGTTTGGTCATCTTTGCTATTCCAATATTCTAAATTCTCATAGAAAAAAATTTGACAATAAAGTTGTTCCTAGAGTTTTTCTTGGTTTTAAAAAACCTAACACCAAAGGATATCGTTTTCTCAACCTTAACAATCACAAAATTCAAATCTCTCGCAATGTTTTCTTTTACAAAAATCATTTTCTATATCAAATTGATAATAACATATCTCCATATTACAATTCTCTTTCTCTACCTATCCATCATCATTATAATTGCAATTATGATAATATTGGTTTGCCTCTATCACATATTGATATTTCCTTCAAACGTGTTTTACCACTGATACTAATATTGATAACCTTGATGTTGTTAATACATATACCTCTAATAATATTAATGATTCTAATATCTTTGACATTGTTGCCATTGATAATAAGATTATTGATGATCTTACTATTATGTAACCTAAGTGTTCTACTCGACTTAGAAAATTTCCTGTTTACCTCTAAGATTTTCAAACAAATAATGTTGTCAAATATCTTATTACAAATTATTTGAACCACAATTATGTTTCTTTTGTTTTTAAATATACTATTTTGTCTATCTCTTTTGCCATTGAGCCATAAAATTATACTTATGCATCTAAACACCCTTAATGGGTCAAAACCATGAATGATGAGCTTTTCGCTTTGAAAGCCAATCACACTTGAACCCTCACTGATTTACCTCTTGGAAAAATTGTCATTAGATGTCGCTAGATATACAAAATTAAGCATAACTTTAATGCCTCTAATGCCTCAATTGATCGTTTTAAAGTCAAGCAGGTTGTCAAAGGTTACATGTAGCTAGAATGATTGAATTTCCTTGACACTTTTACTCTTGTTGTCAAACTCGTTACTCTTCGTCTCCTTTTAGGCCTTACATCCTCTAACAACTAGATTATCAAACAGTTGGATGTTTACAATGTCTTCGTTCATGGTAATCTTCATGAGGAAGTCTATATGAAGTTACCCCCAGGTTTTCCTGTCAAAAATTCCAACTAAGTTTGCAAGCTTTAAAGCTCCCGTTGTAGTCTCAAACAAGTTGACCGACAATGGTGCGCCAAATTCTCTCACTTTTTTCTTTCAAATAGTTATAGATGTTCTTCTGTTGACCACTCCTTAATCATTGCACTACTATCATTCTCATTTATGTAAATGATATCCCTTTCCCAGGAAACAATGCTAGAGATATTCAACACATCACTGACCTCCTTCATTTTCATTTCTGCATAAAAACATTGGAGATCTCACTTACTTTCTTAGTTTTGAAGTATCCTGCAATCATAGTGACATTCATCCCAATTAATGAAAATATACTTTGGATCTCTTTCATGAAATGGGTATGTTAGACTGCTCTCCTGCTCCCACTCCCATGGTTCACTCCTCTCGCTTACAGAACTTTGGTCAACCTCTGAATGATAAGGATGCCTCCTCCTACAACAGACTCATTGAACACCTACCTCACCAACACTCATCCTGACATTGCTTTCTCCATCAACCATCTCAGTTAGTTTGTTTCTTCCCCATCACATTGCACAAACAAGCTGCATATAGAATTCTCAAATATCTCAAAGGTATAGTAAGAAGTGATATCTTCTTTCACATTAAAACAATTCAACAACATAAAGCTTACAGTGATTTCAATTGAGCCACTGGCCTTTAAACCAGAAAGTTCATCACATGTTTCTCTATTTATCTTAATAACTCTCTTATTTCTAGATGTCTAAGAAACAACAAACCCGCAACTCCTCTGAAGTCGAATACCATGTTCTTGCCTCTACCATGTGTAAATTCCAGTGGCTCACATACCTTCTTTAAGACTTTCAAACCCCTTTTGTGACAATCAATCCACAATCCAAATTGTTTCTACTAAAGTCTTTCATGAACACAAAAAATATATTGAGATTGATTGTCATATTATTCGTGATAAACTTAACCATGGATTGATCAAACTATATCTTCAAATCTTCAAGCTACGTACATCTTCAATAAACCTTGCCTCCCCAGACTTTCCAACATCTTCATTCTAAGTTGAGAATAAAAAATATGTATTCTCATCTTAAGGGAGATTGATAAACTTGGTTCTTAGCTTAAGCAGTTTCATTGTATTTATTTGAGTTCTCATAAAGTTGTTTTATTTCAATCTATTTGATTTCATTTCTTAAATTATATATTTATTCGTTCTTCTTACCAAGATTATAACATATAATACTTTTCTCTGTATCAATAGTTCCTTATATTCTTACTTTTTTTTTCCTGCTTCTGAAATATATAGTTCTTTTTCTCTTTTCTTTTCCTTTTATTTTTTTATTTTTGTAGCATACAGTTCTCACTTCCAACTTCTTATTTACTTTATTATAAAAAACAATACGAACTTTTTTATTTATTATTTGACAATATGTTCCGTACCTAATAAATAATTCCTTAGAAATAGTATTCTATATTAACTTTCAAACCTTTGTTATTTGTTTCATGTTTCTTAATAATGGAGGTAACATAATTCAAATAATCTCACGTGATTAAGTCTAGTTAGGAAAATGTAAGGGGCCAAGAGTTTGATAACCAAGTTTGTAAATACTAAATTAGGTTCGAAGATATCAAATATGTTGATTGATTAACTTAAGTGTATGAAAAAAAAATGAATTTTGAAATAATAATTTAAAGGGTTTAATTGTAAAGAATAAAAATAAATCAGGGATGAATGGTTGGATTTCTCAATTGGATTAATAATGTTTGGATTAAGTGAAGAATGTGATGAACTTCAATTACAAACCACCTTTTATGAACTTCATTGTATTATCACCACCCAATTCAATATTCAAATTTAATTTCTTTAAGCGTGTGAACCTAACTCACTCGATTAAGCTCTGAATTTGTTTCAAAGTCTAATTAAAAAACCAACATATGAGATCAAGGACTTTAATTTGTCAAACTGATGTTGACATATCACTATAATGATTTGGTGTGTTTTCCCTAAAATAAATTTTAATAAAACTACAATAATTGTAGTTTATCTTTTTTTTTCACATAGATTAAGAAAAATAATAAATATATCATATTTTAAAACATTTCTTATTAAAACAATTTTATTTTCCCAACAATTGTTTTATTTTTATTAAGATAGAAAATAATTAATTCACGGACAAATTAAAAATACAAAAAATAATATTTCATTAAAATTTGAAAACATTAATTATTTTTTTAAAATTTTAACACTACCATTATCAAAAGCGGTAAAGAATAATTTTTGAAGGATAAATTTGGTTGAGAAGAAGACTATGACGAATGTAGATAAAATTAATACGAGATATTTGATATAAGAGAGAAAAAAAGGAAAAATATAGTTAAAAATGGTATTATCTAATAAATTATTTTCACTAATTTCTATTTATAAATTTGTCTTTTTTTCTTGTATCTTCTTTTATACCCTTAAATAAAACATCGTTAATCTTCATGTTATTTATCATTTATTTTCATTATATTAACTTATTTCCTTTCACCTGTGTAGTCAACCAATTTCCTTCTCTGGTCCACCGAAACTGACACAAAAATGAACGTTTTTAGTAACACTTGGCAGGGATGGTCGTCGGTTTGAAATGAAAAACGGAATAAATTGAATAAAAAACTAAAAATAAAATATACGCGGCGATCATTGAACTAAAGTGGGTCCCATGGGCGGTGGAAAATCCTTGTTTTTTTCGCAGATTCACGTTCCCAATTCCACTTTGCGTTGCTACAACGCACCGCCCCTACAATCATAACGTATTTTCGTTTCTTTTATTCACTCAACAGTCTATTCTTTAACTATTTATGATAATTTCTCTTCACTCCTTACCTTCCATACTTCAGTTCAACCCCTTCCTTTCTTTCTCCTTCTTCAACTCCAACCTCACTCATCATCATGTCTTTCAGGGGCCTGAGCAGGGTAACATTCTTCTTCTCATCCACCTCATAGTTTCTTTAATCTTATTTTATGTCATTTTTATTTTTTTATGTTTGTTGGTTTGATCAAGTGTTGGCCTTTGAGTGCTTGTGTCTGCGTTTGATTTCAAAATCAAGTTTTGGTTGAAAGGCTTTTGACCCACATGCGTTTGAACTTCAGCCAAATGCTTCATCAGGCATGGGTGTTGCTGATCACAGCAAAAACACCTTCATGGAACTGAAGCAGAAGAAAGTCCATCGCTATGTGATCTTTAAGGTTGATGAAAAGAAAAGGGAGGTTGTGGTTGAGAAAACCGGTGGACCTGCTGAGAGCTATGATGATTTCGCTGCATCTTTGCCTGACAATGATTGCAGATATGCTGTCTTTGACTTTGATTTCGTCACTTCTGAGAACTGTCAAAAGAGCAAAATCTTCTTCATTGCATGGTGAGTTTAGTTTCTCTCTATATTCTAGTTTTATATGTTAAAGAAAAGGATCTCTAACTTCTTTCTTGTACTAATCATCTACATGTTTGTGAGGCATGATACTTTATTTGCATTTTCTTGTGCAAAAAAAGGCAAATTCTGCAGTTTATATGATCATATATTTGGCAGTTTCAAAATAACCATGCTATGCTATTCCTTTAAGCTCGTGTCAACATTGCACAGCCTATAAGTGTCACGCTTTGCTTGTCCTCTGATATTATGGAGCTAAATATTTGTTGTTTCATTTGTCTCGGGTTAAATTTCTTGTCTTATTCTTTGGTGGGATAAGAATTTGTCGTTGATTTTGTTCATTAGGCAACCCATCCTGGTAAATGTGGTATTTTGAGATTTTGGTCTCACATCTGAAATCACTACTTTTCCAGCCTGGATGGTGCCATCGGCCTCAGATGCCAATTTTAGCCGCATCCTCTGCTATGCAGATAGAGCATTACTGGCTAGAAGTTCTTACCTTATACGGAAAATGATACATAAATACTAAATCATAACATCATCATGCCTGATGCTTTAGTTCAAGCATATCAAGAGTAGGTTTCCTGAGTATCAGTTTTTTAGGTGGGGGTGGGTAGGTTAGAATTTGTCTAGCCCGTTATTAGTGATTATAAAAGTAAAGCGTTGCATGCTTTGTTTAGTTACGATTTTCAGAGTACCTTCAAACAAGATGATGAACTTCAAGGAAATGGTAGTCTTTTCCATCAGCATGTATAATTAGCTCTTCATTTGCTAGAAGAATGCCAAGCCCCCTGCCTCCATATATACCTTGCTTCTCAGAAAAAAAAAATCATAAATAATATATCAAATGACTTTCTAGTTGAATTGATTGGGTATCAAATGACTTTTGAGTGGCATCTTGGCTCCCACTTCCTAGCAGTATATTTTCCATAACTTATTTGAAGTATCATCTCAATATCTTGCTAGGAGTTTGTCTCCCTTTTCTCTTGTGAACAACAGACTTGGATTGAACTATTTTTATTTATGCCTTCATCCATCCTCACCATCGGGCTTCTTAATTTACTTTTTCTGTGATGTTGCCAGAAATATCAATCTTAGTTTTCATTGCATGATATTTGATTAGGTCCCCTTCAACGTCTCGGATCCGTGCCAAGATGCTATACGCCACAACTAAAGACAGGTTTAGACGTGAGCTAGATGGTGTTCATTATGAAATCCAGGCTACTGACCCCACAGAAATGGATCTTGAAGTGCTGAGAGAACGTGCACATTGAAATGTTTATGTACTTAATTCGTTTTCTTTTCAGAATCTAATAGGTTTTACTTTTAATGAATTACTGCTCCATGCTTTATCATCTGCAGAGCCCATCTTGCCATAAAAATATATCTCCAATAATATGAATCTTAATGCCGATGGTTTAAAGCTCTGAGCTGTTATTGTAAATCCCATTTGCTGGACCTGTATTGTAGAGCGTGACTCTATGGATCCAGATGGATATAAAGTCTCTGCCTGTAACTTTGGCAAAGAATCTCTAGAAAATTTTGAAAATTGCATTTATCAGTATTTTTTTTTCAGAAGCTAAGAACTTATCTTCATGAATGTGGCAATGGACAGAAACAGAAAACATTAACCCTGTATTTGGTTGAGGAAGGGGAGGACAGGAGAGGTAAGAAGTAATGTGTGATGTTTGCTGTGATGGGAGAGGAGGAGCAATATTTTTTTTTTAAATGTTATGATTCATTGTAATTCTTTTCGTTATTTTGTTGCACGTTATGTCGGGCCTAGGAACTTTGATTGTTTGAGGGCACTTACTCCTCATATTTTTCCTTTAAAAAGACAATATTTTTAGTTTTAGTTGGGAAAAAAAAAAATTCTAGAATGATATTTTTGGAATGATACATCCAGAATATTAAGAAATTTGAAGTTATAGATCGAGTTATCGTAGTTATTATTTTTAGGAGAGGAGAGGGTGTTACAAAACAGTGTAGCCAACATCCGCTCGTGACACAGCTCAGGCAAGCGTTCCTAGTTGTCACCTTCACCTCCCTTCTCCCTTCTCCCTTCTCCATTCAAATCCAACCCCATTTCATTTTCCACCAAATGTTATCATCCGCCACCCCACCACCCCCTGCACATGCAACATGAACAACATGAACCACAAACCCCTCTTCCTCACCATAATCACTCACCAAACCCAAAGAACCAACAACATTAGCAGCAACAAAGGCATGGAAGACGTGTGGGAAGGCATCAGCCTCACTTCCTTAAGCCACCACAACACCAACACTACCCTCACCTCAAGACTTTCTAGCTCGATCCTGTGAGAGCTTCACTGTGACCCTGCTCTCCCCATAAGCACGCACCCCCTCCAAGGCCTTGCTGGAAACCTTCTCTTCTTTGGTTCATAAAGAGATAATATTGATATATTTTTATATTACACGTATTAATGTTTTGTAAAATTTTATTAGATATAAACTATTAAAAAATTTGGACATATAATCCATGTTTATCAGTGAGTGTCAGAAGTATTATACATGAAATAAATAAAAATATTAAAAATATTGATGGTTCATGTGGTTGAATATTTTCTATTTTCTGTAAGTAGGTGAGGTAAATTGAGTTCTCGATGCTTCATAGGTGCCATTCATGGTTGAAGATGAGATTCACATAGGATTGGACAAAAAAAGTGTTCCCTTCCATGTTGGATTGCCCATTCGGGAATATTTTCGGATCCATCAATCCGAAACATATCATTTTATCTATAAGCTATAATATCCAAGCCTGATTGTTCATTTCAGAAAAATAACGTGGATACATCAATATAAAATATTTCCCCAGAGAAGGGATACACTTGCAGTTATTACAGTTCTAAGTAGTTCAATCCGGAGAGTATGCTCCCATATTATCCTCTCCGGAGAAGGGACAGTATGTGCAAGGTTGAAACAAAACAAAAGAGTAATATGATCCTTTTCAAAGTTATGGAAGTGTAGGAATCAAGTGTCTAAACTTGATATCGTAGGGGCTTGAAATAGGCCTCAGCCCATTGACATATTGCAAATATTCTGCTGCCAAAGGGCTCCTGTAAGGTCTTGAAGGAATCAGATGCAATGAAGCATAACATAAATTTGCAATTTGTTCGTTAGCCATAGCCATTCGTACTAAGACTTGTGTAACATCGAAAGATGATAGGTGTTCCTGCCTAAGCCAAACTGAGAGAGATCAGTCCTAGAGCTTTACGATGTTGTTGTGTTTCTTTCCAGTTAAATTCCAAAATACAAGAGCATCACGTTGCCTAGTTTTAACTTCTTTATGACATACAAAGTGAGCCTTCATCTGCAAGTTTCGGTTCAAATACATTACCGCAAACTTCTTTTCAACTTATGCTCAGGAGATAATATGACATACTACAACTGTATTACATCTTTTCCCTTTACTTGTTATGCGTTTCGCCACGAACACTAAATTTAGCTAGATGTGGTAGGGTGAGAGGGGAATCAAGATATTAATCATGGTTACAGTAATGAATGTGATTTGTCTGTACCGATGATGGTAGGTAATTGTGTAGATATTTTGTACTTTGGAATAGCCTTTTAATATCATGGTATATTTAGTAACAAAAAGTATGGATGTGTTATTTCGCGATTTTTTTGAAAATAACAATTATTTTTATCCTATCCCATGTTTTTTAACAAAGCAAAAGGACTCAAGTCTAGCACAGTTCGTGAAACAGAAATATGATTTACGTGAATAATCTAATACCTGCCCAAAATATAAATTTTTCAGTTTTTGGGACCCATGGATTATATGAATATCCATGCACTGTGGAGTCGGTATACTGGCTCGGTTTTACACACAAGTCGGCATATGAATATCATCATCAATGTTGACTGAGAGAAATAAAAAAAAAAATAAAAAAAAATTAATCAACCCCAAGTTAGGTTGTGAAATACAAGGTCGGTATACTGGCTTGGAGTTTTCAACAGAGAATATAATATAAATATGAAATGTCAGATGTTGTGATGAATATAGAAGAAAGTATATTAAAAGCTTACCAGTAGCTAAAATTCTGATGATCATTTAAAGACTGGTTGAAAGCAGTTTCCATCGAAGAATAACTTGTTCTGTGTGGACGACCATCAAGTGATGCGAGAGGTAGACAATTGAAGACAGAAGTTAGTGAGACTGAAAACACCAATCCAACTCCCCACTACAACTTTTGCTTTCAACTTTCGATTAACGAATATATTTGAAGTGTACAAGTCAAAAATATGTGCCGTGAACAGACTGGAACCGCAACTAGTAGCATTATGGTCGTATTTTACGTCTACTCGGCATTGAAAAATAAATGATCATCTGTGTTCCCATAATCCCCTTGAAAACGGACACAGTTCAGAATTTCTGACTAGCATTTTCATATTATTTATGTTCATACAGATCCATCATGACACTTTTTCATCTGTAGTCTGTTTTTTTTTTTAAAGATTTCAATTACACACACAAATGCCTCGTGTAATGCCATCGTTTTCCTTGAACCTGAGGGAAATTGAAACTAGGTCAAAAGGGAAAAACAAAATAAAGATAGCATGCAGAACATAATCGGTCTGTGAAACTATTTATTGAAAGTACTATACACACTAATAGTGATTACACATCAATTGCAGCTCAACTTTGCCAATATTCGTAAAAGAAATAGCTATAGTTCCTGCTACATGATGTCGAGGCAAAATTTAACAAAAATATTGGAGAGGAGCAGGGAGAGCTTTTGTGCTCTCCAAGCCTATTTAAACCCACTGCTTTATTATAACAACAACATTACAGATGAACATATCTAAACATATGGAACAGTTCTGTTGTTATTGTTGTGAGAATGTGATTGCTCTGAATCTTCCCCGGTTCCAGCATCCTCATCATTCTCACCTGACATCTCCTCCAACGATTTTCCCTTTGCCTCAGGAACCAAGAAAGTAAATAAGAAGCCCAAAATGTTGACTCCACCTAAGACGATAAGTGCATTCTTTACACCAATACCTGCAGGGTACCCTGCATCAGCTTTGCTCTTGTCCTTGTTTTGTGCCAAGTACAAGAACCCAAATGCACCAACTATAGCTCCAAGCTTCCCAGATGCTGACGAAATTCCATGGCAAGTACTTCGGAATCTAGCAGGGAAAATCTCTGCTGGCACCACAAATGTGGTGGCATTAGGCCCAAAATTTGCAAAGAAGAAGGTGAATGAATACATCACCACAAATCCTATCCGGTTATCCTTATGAGTCCAGTGCTCATAAGGAATAGCAAGAGCAAACATGAAGACAGTCATAAAGAAGAACCCCATCAATTGGATTGCAAATCTTCCTATCCTGTCAATGAAAGCCACTGTGAACCAGTAGCCAGGAACTGTACTGCACAGAGCAATGAGTGTTTGAGCCCTTGCAATTCTGTAAACCTCGTCAATAGCATTCATGGTTTGGGCAGGAGGTATCCAACCAATTGCACTGAAGATATCCTTCTGGAAAAGATTTTGACTATAAAATGCAATATCAAGCAAGAACCATGTGCTTGATGTACCAAGCAGATGCAGTCCATGGCGAACGAGGAACTCCCTTGAGAACAAGCCATATGCCTTTGCCCGCACCTCATTCTGTGGTTCAGCTTGAATCTCAACCTGCAGAACCTTAGACATATCCGCTGCTGCCTGCTTCGTGTTCTTGGCTACTAGAGCAGTATAACGGGCAGTTTCCGGCATCTTCATTCGCCAGTAGTAAGTCAATGCAGCTGGTAGTGCTCCCACCATCACAATTATCCTCCAAATGTAGTCTGTTTCTGGAACTGTTGAGCCAACCGGATCAACCTCATATGGTGGTGCATCGAACCTGTTTTTGAATGCAGCTGAAATTATAATTGCAAATATACCACCTGCCAAAATGCCAAAACCCTGCATGGCAAACACTGCAGCAACGAAGGCACCACGAGTCTTCTTGTTAGAATACTCAGACATTATGGTAGCAGAAAGTGGATAGTCTCCACCAATACCAAAGCCAAGCCAGAACCGGAAGAAGCATAGAGTTGCCATTACAGATTTTGCACTATGTCCGAATGAAAGGCCGGAACCGATGGAACATATAACCATCAACATCAGAGTCATGCCATAGACTTTTTTCCTTCCCATCTTATCACCAAGCCAGCCAAAGAAAAGCTGACCTGAAAGTGTTCCACAGAAAGCCACACCATTTACAGCAGCTGAAACATTCGGAGGCAATGTACCGGGCTTTGGTGCACCGTCAACATGGTAGTATATGCGGCCAAGCAGCTTTGTAACAAGGGATATGCAGAATAGATCATATGCATCGGTGAAAAAGCCCATTCCGGCAATGATGATAGCAGTGAAATGGTACCATTGTGTTTTTGCCACATCAAGCGCATTTAGCACCTGAATTTGCTCCTTTGCCATGGCTTTTCAAGCCAAAATTACAAGGCTCTTTCTGTTTCGTTTTATCAAAAGCTTTTCTTCTCTGCAGAAGTGGAAACAACTTGATCAATTGTGAGATCTCTGATTCAATTAAAGAACTAACAATTCAATAATAGCAGATCGATTCGAAGAAGGTATCAAATGAAATCAGCCAAATTCATCACCAGTTAGCTAACTATGAAAAAGTTTTGACTATCGACAATTACTATTGATTACACCGCTAGTGGAAGAGTTGAACCATTCGAATTCATAATTAAGGCTCAGAAACTGAAATTTTGTATAGAGCATCTGTAGAGTGACTAAATATAAGGAAGATAGAGCGTTCTCAATACAAGAAAGGAAGCAATGTTGTCAAGCTACCGCGCTTTTTGTTAAACCATGAATTAGAAAACTGGAAGAATCTCATAATATCTCAACCAGTTCCGTAATATGAACATAAAAAAATACCAAAAAGTAAATAAGGACTCGTTAGACTCTCTCCTTACTTTTTTGTTCTAGAAACTGCTTTCTAAAATAACTTCACAGTATTTTGCAATCAAACTTTTGGAAAAGTATTATGTTTTGAAATTTTTCTTAAAACAAAAGAAAACAGAAACAAATATTTTAGTAAACAGAAACGTACCAAGCGAGAAACACTTTAAAATGTGTCCCAGATACAAACAAATCTTAAGAAACGGAAAACTGGTTTATTTTATTTTATTTTTTTATAAAAAAAGAGGTTACAGATTGGAGATGCTTCAAGTATCTCCAGAAAGCAAAATTCTAGAGAAGAGAAAAAACAAAAAATTTACACACAAGTCACGGACCCATGTTCTCAAAACCCAAAAAGTACCGGAAAAAAATGGTTAATTTTTAAATTATCATAACAAACAATCATCAGAATCCGAGATAAGAATCAGATCAAATCTTAACAAGCGCTTTTATACGGATTAAAGCCATTAACCCGTGCAAATAGTTGAATCTCCTTACAGAAATATTCACACTGAATGAAGACATGTATCCCATAAACATACATTCACAAGGTGCGCCTTTTATAAAAGTTACAGTAGCCGCAATGTTGGGAATGACGAGAGATAGCTCAAACAAGTACTACAATTACAATCAAATGATCATCGTGGATGTAAAATCAAGGAGAACACATAAAATGAATCACAATTGGGATGATAAATAACCCCCATAAAGAAAAAGAACCAAGGACTCGGGGCGGTTGTGTGATAGTCGCGTGATGCATGCATGGGGTGACACATTAGAAAGATGCATAACAATGACAAAAAGAAAATAAGAGTAGTAATAATAAAATGATATTGTAAAATTGATGTACCTGGTAGTGGAAGAAGGTTGTGGAGAGATGAAGAGAGATGTGAAGTGCAATGAAATGGGATGTGGGAAAATAAGTTAAAGGAGTGGAAAGGATTTATAGGAAGAGGAAAAGAAGAAAACAGCAAGTAATTGAAACATAGCACAATTTCTAAACCAAATATTCCACTCGCATATACCCCACCTTTTCCGCCCAGTCCAGTCAACCCTCTTGTGCCTTTTACGACGCCGTTCCTTCCCCGAAGCCCTTGGATCACTCTCTTATTGGTGCTGCATGCTCTTTTGCCCCATCTTCATTTGCATACACTATCCTACATTTAATAATTATTTTTAAGAATATATCTAAAATGGTTTTTGATTTATTAATTGTATACAGATCGTTTCCCTGACTTAAAACTATATTCCATAAAAAAAAAAGATATTTACCTTTAAAAAAATTGAAAAAATTACTTTTTTTCGTGTTTTTTGTTAACAATTAATAATATAAAATTTTTGTACAGAATTCAAAAGAATCTTTCCTTTCATAATGAATAAAAAAAAAACTAACTTATAATTTGGCTTTAAAAACCGAAATTCCATTCACACTGAATTGATGAAGTTGTTTCGTGTTTTATTTTGCTTAGTATGAACTTCATCGTGTACAGAACTGATGCGTTGAATTTGATGTTCAGCTCTCATGGCTATGGGATGGGACCACCAAAATTTAGACTTTGTTTGAACTCAACTAGTCAGATTCATACCACTGCACCCACATGTCGATCAATGATCAATTAGTTGTGGTTTTTCTTAATCATCTTTTTATTTCTAATAATTATCATTAGTTGTTTACGCGTGCTCTATGTATTTTTGTATTATACACCCGCAATTGCTATTAAATTATAATAATTGTTCTTCAATGCTGCTATTCATCTCTCTATAATGTTACAATCCATTATTGATACAAACCGACACATTAACAAATACGCGCAAAAATAAAACCAGTGGTAACACTGTTTCAGGTGTGATTAATCTCTAATCTAATAAATGAGAAACGAAGTCTTTGGTAATAAAACAAATACTAAACAAAGATAAGAATACCTAATTTGACAAGTTTTGTTTTTAATCCAATGATTATTTAGTAGTAAACAATTTAAACAAAGGACCGTTCGTTTTAGAAAGAAACTCAAAACTTTTCGCTACTATGTAACGATCCGTTAGTTTTCTTCTACGGTTTTTTTGCAGCGTTTATACAGTCAAATATTATTTTATTCTCTACACTTTTAAATTGAGATATTTAGTATATAAAATTTTAAAAACATGTAAACTTATTTCTAAAATTTTAAAAATTATGTGATTTTTTTTTTATGTTTAAACTTTTTACCTGAAAAATTATAACAGATTAAGTAACGTACTTTTAAAGTTGAATAAAAAATCCAATTTAATATAATTACAGGGAAAAATATATTTTCTTTCCTTTTGAGTTGTTACAATATTATGTAAAAGGTAATTTTCTTTTGGAAAATATATACAAAATATTTAATACAATTTATTTCCCCTTAAGTTACAAAAGACTAAATTAAGCATATATATATATATATATATATATATATATATATATTATTTTTTTTAAGTCAAAATAGTATTTATTTGGTATATTTACGATTTTTTAATAATTTTTTAAAAACAAAATCGAATTTTATATTTATTATTATTATGAATATTAAATTTATTATAAAAAAATAATAATAAATAAAATAATTAATATTTATTATAAATATTATTATTATCATTAATTATCATAACAAAATATTAATAAATAATAAATATAATAATAATTGATTTTAATTATTTTATTTATAATATTTTTATTTTTATTAATAATATCATTATTAATTTTATTATTTATAAAAATAATATTTGTAATGATTTAGTTAATAACTAATAAATATAATAATAAAACTAATAATAATAAGTATTAATTATTTTATTTATAATATTTTTATCTTTAGTATTATTATTTATTATTAAAATAATTATGATAAATAATAAATAATAATAATATTAAAAATAAAAAAATAATATTAAGGATACAAATATTATAAATAAAATAATTAATATTTATTATTATTGTTATATTTATTAATTATTAACTAAATAATTACAATTATTATTTTTATATTATAATTATCATTATTAATAAATAATAAAATTATTAATGATATTATGAAAAATATTAAAAATAATATTAAAAATAAAAATATTATAATAATAATTAATGGTAATAATAATATTTATAATAAATAATAAAATATTAATTAATTTTTACTAATATTTTATTATTACTTATTTACACTAAATTTAATAATAATAATAATAATAATAATAATAATAATAATAATAATAATAAATATAAATAATTGATATAAGACTTTTTCTCTATAGTCTTATTAAGCATGACAATTATATAATTTTTAAAAAAATTATTGTAAATCAGTAATTTTTATTTAAAATTGTATTATTTTGGTGCTTTTCCCTTATTCTTTCATTAAATTTTATTTTAATAATTTGTATAATAAAATAAAATTATCAGATACATTATATTTCATTGAAATAAAAACTTAAAATTGATTGAGGAACAACACAAATAATAGTATATATGGAAAAGAAACGTAGTTAATGTGACAGAAAATCCGTCAAATTGGGTGAGCTAAAGTGTGTTACATACAAAAAGGAGACAGTGATGTGATGGGAATAAAGTTTCTGTGTGTTGAAGACTTTATCATATTTACTTTATAAATAAATAAATAAATAAATATAAAATATTTTTTGTATAAAAGATTTACTATTGTCAAAGACAGTGTAGTCTTATCACTCTTTACAACTAAAATATTTTTTCATTGCAAATATTTTTATATTATTTTGATTACAGATAAAGAAAATAGGTTGTATGGAGACTATATAAAATTATTTTATTCTCTCAGGCAATTAATTATGCACGTGTATTGGATAATATTTTGTATGCTCGTTTATAAATATTTCTACTATATAATACAAATGATTTATACTTTTGTTAATGACTAGAGATACAAATTTTGGTTAATTTGTTGAACTTTTATTAACAAATAAACGATCTATCACGTATGGAACATAGGAACGATTTTTCTTTTTTTCAGCTAAAATATTAAATTTAATTTGGAAGATTTTTTTTCTTTAAATTTTTTTTTATATATAAAAAACTTTGAAATAACGTTATTTTTCAAAATATATCGTCTCCCGTCTCAACGTCATATGGGGGCACCTTGGTTCACATTTCTAGGTTAGTTTGTCTCATCCTTTGACTTTTTTGCAACAGTATCGTTGAGTTTATTTACACGCCTCTAATATCCAATTTCAAACTAGCTATACCTAAACAAATTTCGTAAATTATTAGCAATATATTTTTACAATTTAATTAAATATAATGGTTAGTTTATTTTTTCCAAATTATAATAACTTGTGCTGGATTTGATAACTATTGTATTTTATTTGTAAAAGCATAAGAATAAAATAATCATCATACAGTCACCCACCCTCATAATAGTCCATGTGCACATAAGAAGAAAGAAACATGGATGTCTTTGGTTAGACATCCTAAATTTGTAATTTAATTAAAAAAAAAAAATCTTTTTGATGTTTGACAAGTGAAA